CAGATTGAGGAGCACTGATGTTTGGGCCTCAGTAGGGCCATTTATACGAGGAAAAATAAGACGCGTCTTAAATAAGACACGAACTTTCCGTATAAACGGCACATTTCGTCTAAAATAAGACGCGGCTTAGCTAAGACGCGTCTTATTAGATAAGACATGCTCGTATAAATGGTACAGTTGGCGTCTTATTTTTCCTCGTATAAATGGCCTTAGTGGATAACTTGGTCTTTTTAAGGATTTAAGAAGAAGTCTCAGTTCGTCGATATGACGAACCGGGGGGGGGGGTACTCCTGAGAATTCTTGGTGGGGATTTGCTGCCCGGTTCTCCAAATCCTGATACTATTTAGAACCAAAAAATGTCATTTTCCACACCCGTTTTCAGACCAGACTTCTAAAACTATACTCGTTTTCAGACCTGGGGCCCGTTTCTCGAAAGTCCCGGTAACTTTACGGGCCCGAAATCAAATATTCAAATCGACTTATAAAGAATAATAGCGCGGGTCCTGGCTAGCAAACTACTCCATTTTGTTTCATTGACTGATAGTTCTATCACGTTAGATGCAAAACTATTGAAATCTCGATCTTTAATGTAAACGGAGACAGCTTACCGGGCCTGTTAATAATCGGGACTTTCGAGAAACGGGCCCCTGGCCTTTAGGCAGAAATTATGTCATCATTAATAAGATAAGTCAGAGCAAACAAAAAATTCTTCAAATGCACTTCGAATTCGCATTTTTCTATTTCGTTCTTATTCATTTGGAATTGAACCGATAAATACGTTCATACACTCCCGTAGCTCCTCGAAAACCATGCCCGATTCCACACCAAAATGGGCAAAGTTTATAGCCGTTCTCGGACGGCCAAAAGGGCCCAAAAACCTTACCCTTCGGTGCTGCACATACCTAAGTGGCTTATATAAGGGAATACTGAGGGAGTACCCCCTCCCCGCGGAGACGAATCAAGCTCCGTGAATTTATATGTAGAATAATATTACGGGTATTAAAGTTATTTCCATTTGCCTGAGAGTTTCTACGAGAATTATTTCCTTCTGAGTCGCCAGGATTTGGTTCCACATCACCAGCAAGAAGTAATTCAACTTGAAAAGTGGCTGTATGATGGAGTAATAACGCATCCGGGCAACACACACGTGTACCACTCCGATTATCTTCTTTGAATTTCACAGCGGCAGCGCTTCGAAAACATATGGAAAAATTGCCATATCCACTACCACTTCTTTCCAAAACCAAAAATAGACCGGCGATTTGTGCGGTAAGTAGCCTGAGAAAACATCCGTTTCTCCTCGCTCTTCGCCGCTGGGGACGTTTTGGGCTAGCAAAAAATAGTAGAAGCCCAAAACCTCATGGCCACCATAGCGGGTCACGTGTCTTAGCAATACGTGTTAATTTAATTTTGTGTTAGTAGGTCCGAGTACGTTAGATTTAGACTGCGAACAGGCTCTCTTTTCCCTCTCTTTCTTCACTGCAGTGAGGGGAGTGCACGCACGCGCGAGCATCGGGCGGCAACGCCGCGTTTCGCTCGTCGGACTAAGAAAAAAAGAGAGACTGCTCCTAGTCTAGTTAGACTTTTTATTTGAGATAAGAAATACGCCCGAGAGATACTTGCAGACTCTAAAACTGAAGGGGGCGAAAAACGATTTTTTTACTCTGAATTTTTCTCTATTTCAGTCGAATTCACTTTATTAGCGAGTTTTCGCTACTATTCAAATACTCTCCGTGGTTCCTTGTCTGAGCTCTCTAAAACATATTGACACATGGGACACCCTCATACCCAGCGTCTTCGCTCTTCCTGAACAGCTGCCTGAAAACGAGCAATTTTTCGAGCCAGCAGAAGCATCACGGAACGGAGACTAGATGCACAAAATCTTGCAAGAGGATGTAGCGAGGGCGATATCGAAACCTCGGCGAGTTGTGGCGGAAGATCACACGATGGCAGAAAAGTTGTTTTGATGTTCGCCACCCTTCCGATAAAAAGAACAGTTGGAAACGAACAGATTCAGCCAAAAAGGCAGTTGTTCGCCACCCCGACCCAAAACCAGACGAAAAGTTCTTAGTTTCTCCTTCTAGGATACTCCTTCCTAATCTCATACGTAGATCTGCCACGGCCAAGGGAAATTGAGGGAGATCTAACTTTTCAGCGTAAGATAGAGCGTGATCTGGGTGTCATAAATCATATGTGTTACAGTCAGTTCTCTGTAGCTTTAATTCTTCACTCCATTGAAAGTATATTTGTTCATATTTTAGAATTCTGTACTATGTTCTACAAAGAATTCATCGACATCAATTCGCGTAAAGTTTCGATGATCTACACTCAATCTACATACTCGATTTTAGCTCCGCGGCTCCGAACGACTACACAGTTCGTAGACTCTTGTACAAAGTTCAGTTCTCAGATCACGTCAGGCGTCATCCCGCCACGATGACGTAATAATTTCCTAACACTGGGTACGAGATTAACCCCAATCAAATAGCGCCTTAATTAAGCATTGTTAAGCACGCCTTACGCTATCTTTTCCCCTCCGTTTTCCAGCCCTCTTCGCTCCCTCGTCTCCCACTTTTCTTACCTTCACCCCCCCAGGCCCCCCCCCAGGCTCCCACTACAACCCCATACATCATACCTTTTCACTAATCAACTCGTTTTGTTTTAGCACACAATTCTTGCAAGAACACCTTGGACAAAAAACAGCGAGCGAAAGCCGGATCTTGTTAAAGATCAGGATCAGCAATACAAAATAACACTTAAAATTGATCATGAAGGCAAGGCTGATCGGACAGCTAAGGGTTGATAATTAACAAATTTATTTGCCCAATATTTCGACTAGAAAAAACTAGTATTCATCAGGGGCTAGAAAAAGAGCCTTGAAATTATCAACCCTTAGCTGTCCGGTCGGCCTTGCCTTCAACTTTAAGTGTCCTTTTGTTTTATCCCTGGTAAAAATGGATCAAAATGCTCGTCAAAATGTTTGTCAGATAGTTTCTTCAAAAAAACGTTTTCTAAACGGTAATAAGATAAAGCGCTCTTTAATAGTCAAGTAGTCTCAAGTCCTGATGAGGTCAAGGTCTCTCTCGTATTTTTTTTATAGTTGAAAATATTCAATCTTATGGTTTAGGAGTCACGCTAGGAAAAAATGCCAATTTGATTTATCACTGCTATCTAAATTTGATTTATCACTGCTATCTCGGGTAGACCCTGTATTTTCCTTGGCTCCCTTGAACATAGTCTGTTCCAGGCTCCAAGATATTAGTGCAACAAGCAGTCGTGCAGTAAACAATTGCAGTAAACAAGTGACGCGAAAAACGCGAGAGGACTGGGGAGAGAGCAACAACGTCAGCGCCCTTACGCCCTTCCCCTTTCCCATATCATATCCCCCGCGTCTTATATTCCCTCTCTGGTTATCTTTCGGGACCTTTCTTCTATCTGAGAGCCTTGCACAGGATAAATACTAATATAAATACGGAACTGTCATCACATTCAGGTATATATATGGCTTTATCGCACAGATAAAATTACCAGAGCAATAGATATTTTACTTGGTGAAAGAGCAACTGAAAATTAAAATTAATGAAGGTATACCTTTATCTTAAAATTGTCACGTTAATGAATACAATGAATACAATATTTCACAAGGTTCGTGGCGCTGCAGACTTTTAAATAAATTCAGGCTTTTATTTTGCTTTTTAATCAACCTTTAAAGACGCACTTGGTGACCTTGGTGAGTTCTCTGAAAGGAACGTAGGGGATATTTCAAGGAAGGCCACATGCTCATAAATCCGCATAAGTATTCCGGCTCAGACGCTTTTTTGTACGCAAATTGGTATTATGCTTCTAATCTTCTTAGGAAAAATTAAATTAGTAAAATACCTGAACATTCTAGAGCCATAGAAATTCGCTATAAATTTGTCGTTCAAAATCGACAATTTTTTTTATTACTTTAGAGTGTAATTTTTTTGTCGACAAGACCGTGTGGTTATAGCTCCCGTTCCAATTCCCTTTTTATTTGCCATATTAGCAGTGTCCGTGACAAGATCAGGCTTTTTTCGCTTTTTTGATTACATTTTAATTTGTTTGGGAGCCGCAAGTCCTAACTTAATTAAGAAGAAAGCAGTCTTTTGCAATTTTAAGGCGTTCAAAAATCCGAACAAAAATCTCTGTCAGAAAAACTGATAACTATATTTTTCAATACTAAAAAATGCATCCATCATCATAGAGTATTTGTTTTCCTCCACTTGTCGCCTATTTAAGAGGTCAGGAATTTTAATGAATTTTTCTTTTAGCTCACATTCAATTATGTTTTTTCTTCTGTGTGTATCAAAGCGAATGTGGAATCAATTCAGTATGATAAAAGTATGGACTCCCGCAGTTTCTGCGATTTGTGTTAATAGCCTACATCCGCTTTTCATTAAAATGCGCTGGGAGTACTTTGGACTCATAAGGGCACTATCAATCCTATTAAACGTCTTTCTATGCGGGCAAAGGTCTCAAATCATGACAGCTATTTTCTCTCTAGCTGTTTAAAAGGAAGGAAGTTTAGAACGTTAATCGCGAAGGTATTCTCTTCTTATAAGACGAGATATTAGCATCGTTAAGGTTAAGAACGCATTATTTTCAAATCAGCTGATTTTTTCGCGGGAAGCCAAAAAAGATGCTATCACCGCAACATACGGAAAATCGCAAAAAGCTGAAAAGTTTTGCCCGAAGGCGCGTTATGAGTGGTTGTCACTAAAATGAGTCGTGACAGTAAATTACATCTGACCCCTGTTGTAGGAAATTATATTCGCATGCGGTTACACGCAAAGTCTGCTTTGAGACGCGACCCTCAAACGTCTCCAGATATTGTTCGCGGTGGAATGTGTAGCCATAAATGGTGCCCTGGTGGCTGAGATGAATTCCTAAGTTGATTGCAAAGTCGACGCTCTCTTTATTTGTGAAATCCCATCCAACGTGTTTAAAACAAGACTAATTACAGGTTTTTCTGATCTTTGATGAACAGGATTATGCGAATGAAAAGCTTGTTGATCGTGGTTGTGATTGTGGTCGAGTGCTTCTCCTTAGCGCATACAACCCCTTCTGGAAAACCAATCGTCGAAACCAAATATGGGAAGATAATTGGAAAAACCCGACATTTCCTGAGCGAAGACGGCCATATTAAGTATGTCAACACATTCCTTGGAGTTCCCTACGCCTCACCACCGATAAAAGATCTACGCTTTCAGCCACCGAAGCCTCCACATTCCTGGAAGCCTAAAATATACAACGCGATCTCATTCAAATTCGTTTGCGCCCAATCTCAGTCTCCGTACTTTTTAAACTCAATTCGTCTTGTTTGGCCCGGATTTACATGGGAGAAAGATTCTAGCGAAGATTGCTTGTACTTAAATATATTCGCCCCTGGTCGAGAAAACGCAACTAATTCAAGTCAGCTTTATCCAGTCATAATGTTTCTTCATGGTGGAAGTTACGTTTACGGTACTACAGCACGGCATACAACTCCAGGAGAAGTCTTTCCCCGATTTGGCGTTGTCTTGGTGATGGTTCAGTACCGGCTTGGACCGTTTGGTTTTATGACCACTGGTGATGCTGAAGCCCGCGGAAATTGGGGAATGTTAGATCAAGTGCAAGCCCTAAAGTGGACTCAAGAAAATATAAAAGCATTCGGAGGAGATCCTGAAAAGGTTACCGTATTGGGTGTGAGCTCAGGTGGGGCCAGCGTAGGGCTTCATTTATTGTCTCCTCTGTCGAAGGGACTTTTTCAAAGAGCGATTATGGAGAGCGGAGTCGAGCTATCACCATTTGCATTTCAGTCTGTTGAGGCAGCTGTTCAAAACACCGAAAAAACTGCCAAAAAACTTGGTTGCAACACGGAAGATCACCGGGAAATGATAAACTGTCTTAAAACAAAAGACACGAGCCAAATTGTTGATAAATGGCAAGGGCCAACTCGGCCCGTCATAGATAACCATTTCATATGCGACACACCAGAAAAACTCCTCTTGTCTGGTCAATTTAATCCTGTTCCTCTGATTGGCGGCTTTAACAGCGACGAGGCTGGTCATAACATTCCACAAAAATGCACACCACCGAACGAACTTTCTGGCGCTCTGTTTGGAGATTGTATAAAATCCTTTGTCCATGAGGAAAAATTGTTCCACAATAACGAGAAAACTGCTGGTCTTTTAGAAGACTCAATCACCTTTCAGTACACTCCATGGACAAAAACGCCCGACTCACCCACCCTCCTTAAGAAAATAGTCAACATGCAATCAGATTATTTCGTAGCAGCCCCTACATTGAAAGTCTTAGAAATTCATAGCCAGAAAGCTCCCACGTACATGTATGAGTTTTCTCACATATCTAAGCGAAGCAGCGCAGAAGCTTGGTTAGGAGTAAGACACGGAACAAACACCCCTTATGACTTTGGAGCACCGTTTTTGAACATATCCTCGCTGAATTTTACCGAAGAAGATCGAAATGTAAGCAGCTTCATAATGTCACTTTACGCAAACTTTGCCAAAGACGGGATACCCACGCCTTCCGCCCTACACGGGGTGACATGGAATCAGTTTAACAGGACCCACAAATCGTATTTACTGATCCAGGAAAATCCTAAAATGCAGACTAACTTTGAACCACAGCGGATGGCGTTTTGGAATTTTTACTATCCACGCTTGTTAAACTTTTCTAAGACCATCGCAAATTCTGAGGAACAAAACCGAGACAATCATAACAATGGAGTGGGGCGAGTCTCGAAACCAGGGCTTCTCGGTTTAATTTTGATTGTTCTTTGTGCACCTGTTCTGTTTGATTGAATAAATTTGGGAAATGCTAATCAACCGCAAGATCGAAGACAAACCGCCGGATATTGCCGTGACAGAAGAAAGACTTGACAGGCAGTTGTTGTTAAAAAAGAATGCTTGGGAGTGTAAATCAGCATGTAAATAGTTTAATCTAGTTTGTTTCGTCATTCCGAACAGTTGTCGGAGGAAACGGAACTACGAGCGAGAACAGCATCATTAGGAGCCTATTGATACAAAAAAAGCGACAAACCAAAACTGAAAGAGAAAGAAAACATATTGGAATGATCTTTTAAAGGAGTTAGGAAAAGCGCTTTAGAAAAAAAGACGAATTTCATCATATACAGCCAAGTAAAACGTTTAAGCGGAGATGGGATCGAGGAGAGGGAAGTTTGTTTGAAAAAAGCGAACCCTCGAGTCCCAAAATAAAATACTTCAAAATAGTGTCAGATTCGCACTGCTATAAAGCTGCCATTTGAATTGTCACACTGTAAGATATAATTTACAGATTTAAAACACAATCTTCAAATGGGACCACTTAAAATTGTATCCAGACTGACTAAACTTGAAAGCACCTTATGCAGTTTAATAAACTATAGCACCATAGTAGAGAACTTCACAGTAGCTTTAATTCTTCAAGATGGACACACTTTAGGATTATATGCACAGACTTAAACATAAGACAAGACGCCGACAGGATTAAAATAGATACCATAGGATAGTACTGCAAAAAGTCGACTTAAGTATTTCATCTTCAGAATCTTCACAGAAACACGCCTCTTACAGCGTATTAAAAGATTCCACAGGAAAGTACTGTTGGATGGCTTTTATCTTAATGGTCACCTTGTTGGAATTTGATTCTTAGTCAGGTGAGGAAAGTAGTAGTCTCCTTCGGAGCCGCTCGGGCCGGCGTCACGCAATGCTCCCCTTCCCCACGTGACGGGAAGCATTGCGTGACTCTAGCCCGAGCGGCTGCGAACGAGACTCGGAAAGAAGGTGACTGGGGAGGGTGTAGTGGCAGGGGAATGGTGGCTCTCCCCCTTGATCATGCCTATAATTTCAAGACAGTGATACTTTAAAAAAATAAAAAAAGTGCTTTTTCCTCACTTCCTTTTTTTCTTCTGATAGTAATTCTTTATCCCTAGAATCATTTGCATGTTATCCCACTTCCGCAAGCCCCTAGAGGGGACTATTTCTGAGTCATTTTTAACACACTTATTCGCCCGCACTTCCTCACCCACCCCCTTCCCCACCACCATCACCACTCCTAACAAACTTTCCGTAAGCATATTTTCAGTAGGCCATTCGCACGATGGCGTCCCTTTTGCTACTACGACCAGAATTCTCTTCGTTTTTCCTTTCATATTCAAAATTGGTGATCCCAGCGAGGTTCAAATAAGGAAAGCCCTACTTTGCACAAGAAAGCAAACCCCTGAAGGATTCTGGTCGTAGTAGTAAAATTACGTCATCATGCAAATGGCCTATTAATTTGGCGATTGATAATTTGAATACAATGCTTATGCCAATTTTAGAAAGCAAACAGTATGTATTAGGGAACAATGTGGAAATGACGAATAAGTTTATTAAAATTCAATTATAAGCTACCGTATTTATTCGATTAACCGCCCTGGGCACTTATTAAATTTTTGGACCTTGAGAGTGAGCGCTTATTCGAGGCTGGGCGCTTATTAAATTTTCACGATTTTCAGCAAGTGAAGTATGTTTATTTTGCAACAGAACAACAGAAAGCTAATAACAAAACGCGAAGAAGTAACAAAGCAAGGTTTCTGTAAAATACTCTGAAGAAAACTCCGTCCTGGGGGAAGTAAGTCTCTTAGTAGAATTTATTCACTAAAGTGGGTGGGGTGGGGGTAAGCGCTTATTTGAGTTTGATTTTGAGGAGGAGAGGTGGGCGCTTATTCGAGGCTGGGCGCTTATTAACTTTTTCTGCCTTTAGGATGGGCGCTTATTCGAGGTGGGCGCTAATTCGAGGTTGGGCGCTTATTCAAATAAATACGGTAATTCTCTTTAATTCTTCATTTGGAATTGCTCTTGCAACGACAAAGACATAGTTTTCAAGTGACTAAAGATAAAGCAAAACTGAATTAATGTCAGTAATTTAACCGAGACCCGATGACTCAACTCATCTGAAATATTTAGAGTAAGCTTTTCCAAGATGCTTTTCTTTTCTTATAGACTTCGTAAATGAACTAGTCCAATAATTTTTTTTCTACGAACATTGTAAGCATTGTATTATATTGTAAATAGTTAACTGGTGATCGAAATCATAAAGTGTGATTATTCAATAAATGTTTGAGCGTCATTTTACCATACACTTTTTTGAGCGAATAAAAAAGTGGAAAACTCTTCCTAATTTTTAGGCTGCTTGAAAAATTGAAGAAAGTGCTTAAGCCATGTCAGTCATTTAGGGTCTCGTTCCATGATTCACGCGTGCGTCACGTTGGCTCCGTCATTAACATGTATTTTATGTATTTTATGGACACTATTTCAATATTACTTTCCTTCATTTTTTTTAAACGACGAAAAAAGTAATACCGTTATCTAGTACATGTGGTACGTTACACAAAATTAACCGTGGCCAAGGGATATACGTAGCGACGTTTTCCCGCCACAAAAGGCCCATTTATTTGAAACAAATACCAGAGTGTTTGTATTTAGGCTTTTCCTTGATCCTTAAGTTATTATTCAGTTAACGGGTATAGTTATGTCATTTTTTTACAAAACAAAACAAGGGCACCCACCGGCGATGTTTTCGTCAAATAATGACAGAGAGTTTTAGAATCTGGTAAAACACAAACGGCAAACGCAAGAATCAGGTTGATCATCTGTCAAAAAATATGTATTTAAAATATGAACTAAAATGAGACATAAACGCTGTGCAAAAAAAAAAAATTCATGGATAAAAATTGACAAACAAATGTTCTGGTAGAAGCACAAGGAAACTTGATCACGTGGTACAAATTGACATTTGCTGTTTGACATAAACGCGATTTTAAACTGCGTAATGGGCGCGAGAAAGCACGGGGCGCGCGAGGGAGACACGCAAGAGGAGAGGGAACTCCCCTCGCGTGTCTCTGTCGCGCGACCCCGTTTTTTCTTGCATTCCACGCGCCTGCTACGCAGGTTATTGTAAACCTGTTAAAACAGAGTCTGTTTTAATTACATTTTCATACGCTAGTCTGAGATCTTGAAGTCACGAGTGAAAGTATCCACAAGATACAGTGCTGCTTGCAGTTGAGAAAATCCAAGGAAAACATCTGCATCGTCAAAAAGCATCTAAGAATTGCCTGGTTTCCCGGTGGACGAGAACTTGAAAACATCGGGCCGATTATAATCTGTTGTATGGGAAACACTGGTCACAAAACATTGTTCAGTATGGAAAGTGTGGTTTGCTCACAGCAAAGAAATTCTAAATTTAAGCCTCCTCTTTGTTGTTCTGGGGCCACTTTGTGTTAACGCTCTTAATTCTAGAATAACTTAGACGAAAAGTTGGGGAAAATATACTCGCCGCAATATAGCCTCCAAAATGTTAAATACCCCAAAATTCCTCTCAAAGTCCCGCAGAGTCACCAAATACTGCCATAAGTGTAAAGGTGCTTATAAACAAAGTCTCGAAAATCATTCATCGGCTAAATGATCTTTTGGAGAATTGAAAAAGTTTCGTTGTTAAAGAAGAGAGGATAATTATCCTCTCCTATTTTGTCTTTTTCAGCTAAGCTTAAGCAGGCTCCAGTAATTTATGGAAATACTATTGTGTAATGGAAATTTTCTTAACCTGTTTTTTTTTTTAACTTAAATGTTCCCTGCGATTTTCACTCGTCAGACGAGCAGGCCTCATCACTGGCCATAGCCAACGAATACATGGAATGAATTACGGACACTGGCGATGAAAATGAGCCTATAAGAAATAGACTTCCCGTGTTTTAGAGACATCTTTCCGTCCACATAAGGAACTCAAACAGTGAAAACTGAAAAAAAATCTCTTGCAAACCAAATACACAAAGGATAAGGATGATTTTCTCAAGTGCTCCGTTAAGGTTGGCTCGATAAGTGCGCCTGAACGTAACGACGACAAACTGAACTTATCACAAGTTTGAACGATGCTGTAATTTGACTGTCACAAACATCACGGACTAACGCAGCTTTCAAAGTTATGGCCGCTCCTGTCTTTCACTTTTACCAGGCTCCACTGCAATCTCTTTAGCTTTGTGCTTTGTCCTCGATCTTTGACTTTTCTTAGCCTCATATTGTTTACCTGACAATTTACACGATCTATAGCTTGTCAACGGATAATTTGGCCGCAAAAATGAAGTTAGGATCTGCCACAAATTTCAGCCGGCCTACCTTTGCAAACAACAGAAGTGAAGTCCAACGTTTTCACTGATCGAACTCCAGATTAAGCTTAGAGCTACGTTAACTTTAACTCTTCGTTTCTCTAGTCTTGTTTTCTTTTCCAGTGTTAGTCCAAACTGAGCCCCACCCTAACCCCCTAAGGTTAGAAATAATCACTGACATCAAACAAGAAGCTGATAGCCTGTGTTCAATCAAAACAAAATTTAACGAAAAAAAAAAATCAAAACGTATTACAGAGTGCGGAAATTACGATGTGAATCTTGTAGAAGTTACTAGGTTTCAAAACTCAGTTTCATCCAAACAAGTAGCTCTAGCTTAATTCTTCCCCGCAAAAGCAGCGATACGAGAACGAAAAACCAACGGAGTGAGAATTCGGGAACGGGTTTTTTGGCCAGTGTGGCGAAGCGTCAACACGGAAATAAAAGACCACTTGCTCAGTTGTTTGCTAGAATAATGGTGCCAGTTATGTTCTACCTGTTTTTCTCCTAGGAAGAAATCGTAACAAACCGTAAAACAAAAGAAAGCTATTCAACGATTCGCTGGGTTTGAAACTTGTAAATAATTCAACTCAGACAGGTTCTTTTAAGATGAAAAATTTTTCATTTCCTAGAATAAACTAAGATTCAATTGTCAAAAATACG